CCCCCCTGCCATATACAGTACAGCCACACCCCCCCCCTGGAATGGTTACCATGTAAGTGAACCTGAAGCTGGAGTTGGGCTTTGACATTTCCTAAAACTTTACAAAGAACTCAGATTTCCTTTCAGTAAAGGGATCATGACAGGCCTCTGATGTTACCTCATTGACAAACAGCCTTCCCAGCGAGTTCCGAGCATGAGGCCGGCACATCACGATCTCTGCAATGCCTGGAACATATGGAATAGAGAATGATATACAATTCCAACAAGACATGACGGCAATCATTCATTGAAAGGCCCAACTCTAAAGCTGGCCATACACCTACCGTAGAGATGATCTGCAGATAACTAAAGCGGGCCATACACCTAGAGATTATCTGCAGATTTTCTGTGGTCAGATGGAAGAAGTGCAACAGATTCCTCCATCTACGCTACACTGTGTGGTTGGAGGAATCTCCCGCTGGACCAAGCTTCAGTATCCTGCTAGTCGGCCCCGCTGGCTCTCAAAACACCTGAACAATCTGATTGGATGCAGGCATTGTTCAGGTATTTTAAGAGCCAGCGGGGCCGACTAGCAGGATACTGAAGCTTGGTCCAGCGGGAGATTCCTCCAACCACACAGTGTAGCGTAGATGGAGGAATCTGTTGCACTTCTTCCATCTGACCACAGAAAATCTGCAGATAATCTCTAGGTGTATGGCCAGCTTCAGACTATTCATAGACGGGAGGTCTGATGAGAGGTCTATTGACGTGCCCTGACTTCTACGCGGAGATGACCCATGGCCTGAATGGGCACACGGTTATCACATTTCTTTTATCTTCTCATTGCTCAAGACATATAAGGGTCTAAAAAATAAATATCATCACTTATTCTTCCAGCAAAAATACATCCATACATTTCATCTCTGCAAGATAGCCAATTGTTGTCAGAATGGAGCAAAAACGAATGTTGTGTAATTTCTCTTTTGGTCAAATATTCTTTAATAGATTCATTCATACAGAACAGAATGAAGAGCGAATGGGGAAAATACCGCATTATGGCCACTAGATGGAGCTGTGGTGAATACATACAATGAGGGGAATTTATCAACACGTCTGCATACAGAATCTGGAGCAGTTGCCCATGGCAACCAATAAGCTTCTCTCTTCAGTTTACTCAGTTAATATTTGAAAATGTAAGACAGAAGCTGATTGGTTTCCCTGGGCAACTGCTCCAGATTCTGTATGCTGCAGTGTTGATAAATTCCCCTCAGTGTGTCTTATTACTAACATGTATTTAGTTTCTATGATCCTCAGCTCCATCTAGTCTCAAAATATCACCCTAATCGTCCCCTCCGCTCCTCCCAAAACCTCCTGCTTTCCAGCTCCCTTATCAACTCCTCCCATGCTCGCCTCAAGGACTTTTCTAGAGTCTCTCCCATCCTCTGGAACTCTTTACCCAAACCTGTCTGTCTATCTCCCACCTTGACTGCCTTTAGGCGATCCCTTAAGACACATCTCTTCGGGGAAGCCTATCCCGCCTCAACCTAACCACTGAACCATCAAGTTGTCAAACAATTCATCCCCACTCAGCTACCTCCTCATGTATCACTTGCCCCTCCCTTTTAGATTGTAAGCCCTCAGGGGCAGGGCCCTCCTTATCATCTTGTCTTGAATTGTGACTGTAATGTCTTCCTTATATTGTAAAGCGCTGCGCAAACTGTTGGCGCTATATAAATCCTATATAATAATTAGGGATGCACCGATACCGAGTATTTGGGCGAGTACTCGTACGCGCCCAAATGCTCCGATGCCTAGCACGAGTACTTCCTGTATCAGGAAGCCGGGCTGCGCGTCATTATATGCTGCCCGGTTTCCTGATTGGGCGGGAAGCGGCTCCATGCTCGTCACTTGTGACGAGAGAGCTTGGAGCCGACTTCCCGACCAATCAGGAAGCCGGGCAGCGTGTAATGACGCGCTGCCCGGCTTCCTAATTGGTCGGGAAGCTGGCCAATCAGGAAGCCGGGCGCCTTGTAATGACGCAGCGCCCGGCATTCTGATTGGCCGGGAAGTTGGCTTCATGCTCCCTCGTTATCTCAGGACGAGGGAGCTTGATTGGCCAGCCAAACGGCTCCAGCTGGGTACCAGACGAAGGCCGCCTTCTGGCTGGAGTGGCCCTGGGGGTGACAGGCTGGACATACCAAGGTAAGAGGGGACGGACTTTCTTGTTAATCGGGAAGCCGGGTGGCGAGTCATTACACGCCCCCTGGCTTCCTGAATGGGACTTCCGTTACTCGGTATCGGCGAGTACTGAAAAAAAATGACCGATACTCAGTACCAAAATTTCGATATCGGTGCATCCCTTATAATAATAATCTAGTGGCCACAATGTGGTATTTTCCCCATTCACTCTGTTCTGTATGAATGAACCTATTGAAGACCATTCAATAAGAGAAATTACACTAAAAACATTCATTTTCGCCCCATTCTCACAACTCGCACCGAATCATCGGACCTGCAGTTTTCCCGGACGAATAAGCTATGTGATTCTTTATAAATAGAGATTTCACAACAAGCTAAAAAATAACTGTGAGTGATAACCATTGATTCCAAAGTCAGTACCTCTGGATGACCAGATCCACACCCAAGCCACTACTTACCCTAATGATAAAACGTCAACTTCCTATTGGCTGCCACAGATCTCATATTATTATAACTGCTCATGGCACTCTTTTAGTAAAGGATCAGTCAACCAACAATTGGTAGCTGCTCCAGACAATTCCACCCAACATATTAGTATTGCGATAAGCCTGCGGTAATTTAAACTACAACTCGGTCCATTTTTACTTCCTGTCCTGCAGATGCAAAAGGAAGTAAGAGGAAATCTCCCCAAAGTGAACGGAATTGAAGAGTTTTCATAGGAACAGGAAGATTTCCCCTCACCTACTGTTCTGGTGTGTATTTATGAAAAATGTGCAGAGTCATGCATCCTGCAAACCGGCATCCATTCGTGGATGGGGGCAAGAACAAATGGTATATTTTCCTTCCAGGTTGAATATAATGAATTCATAGGAATAGAGAATCAGGAAAATACCACATTATGGCCACTAGATGGAGCACTAGATGGGTCGTAGGAAATAAGTCTATATTTGCTCCTCAGCTCCATCTTGTGGCCATAATGTGGTATTTTCCTGATTCACTCCAATCTTATGAATGAATGACATTACCAATTGTCAGTAATATAGGAATTCTACATTGCCTGCAGTACTTCAAAGTACAAGTGTCAGTAACATCAGAGTTCTAAAGTGAATGCAGACGTATTAAGTACAACTATCAGTAACATGACAGTTCTAACCTGGTCCAGGTACCTTAAAGCAACAAAGCCAGGACAGTAAACTAGCTCATACAGGTCTCCCTGCAAAAAGGAGGTTAGTGAATACTTACCTCTCCTATTGCCTGCGCTGTTCTGATAAAGAGGAATTACCCTCCAAAAGTTTTATAAGTGACCCTTCTGGGAGTTTGAAACCCCTGTGTCCCCCGCAGTGCTCAGTGGTTCCTCCCGCCGACTGTGTCCTGTAGTGATGTGGCAATCGGTGGGGAGGAACCACTGAGCACAGCGGGGGACACAGATGGGTCACCTATAAAACTTCTGGAGGGTAATTCCTCTCCAGCAGAGCAGTACATGCACCAGGAGAGGTAATTAGTAGCTTCTTTTGAATTGACACCTTTGTGAGCTGCTTTCCTGATGGGACGCTTTACAATCCGGGAGTTAAGCTTTAAAGGAGAACTATGGAGGTGGGGGGGGTCTTATGGTAAAATGGCCCACACACCCCTGATTTATAGGCATGGGCTCATCTGTCTGGACACTCAGCTTGTAATGAATACAGCTATTGCAACACAACTCTGGGTGAAAAGTCTGCCTGAATCGGAAAGTTCCCAGCAATCCTTGTGCAATGACCTGCATGGCTGGAGGAGGAGTGACAGTCATAGGAGAAGTGACAGTCATGTGGCAGCCATAGGAGAAGTTGCAGTCACGTGACAGCCATAGGAGGAGTGACAGTCATGTGACAGCCATAGGAGTGACAGTTATGTGACAGCCATAGGACGAGTGACAGTCATAGGAAGCAGTTTATTGATTGTCAATAAAAACACAGCAACTAAGGACAGAGAGAGAGAGATCACTTTATAAGCCCCTCCCCCCGCTTCTAGGTCACGTGTTTAGGTCGCACTCACCCTCATTGTTTCCCTCCAGGTGGGTGACCTGCACCTCTCTGTGCCCCGCAGCTGAGCTCAGCCCCCTCTGCACAACCCTCCGAGCCACAGCCAGCTGCCGTGCCAAACTCCCCATTGCCCGGCGGTGTGAGAGCGCGCCACCTACAGCCGCACACAAGAATTCCAACCGATCTGCAGGGAGGCGGCGCCGCTGGACCTTGTGACTGACACGCCCCTGCTATCTGACTGGTCTACGCGCTGACAGCAGATCCTCCTTCCTTAAACCAGCCCGCGTATTAGTGGAGTGGACTCAGGCACAAGGAAGCTTATTGCCTCTTTAAGAGCGCTGCAGACTTCGGAGTCTAGGTACAGGCAGTGAGTCCTGATTGTTGTGCTGCTAGTTCGGGAAGAGATCCGATCATCCGCGGCCAACATGCGATCCGTCCAGAGGAAGGTGTACGTGGTGGGAGTTGGCATGACCAAGGTGTGTTCAAACAGCTCTCGGATGGGTTATGGGGGTCAGGGGTGTAATGACGTCATTAGAGGAGGGGTCTGGGCTGACCAATTGGCTGGGGGAGCAAAAGTGGGTCTGATGGGCTAAAGTAGGACTTCTCACTCTGTGCTATGCACAGTGCCTGGTTTATACCGGGGGAGCAATGGGGCAATTTTCCAAGCCCCCCTTCAAAAAGGACCGAACTCCATGCAAAAGTATAATAGTTATAAAATTAGATTATTTTGTTAAAGTTTATCTGGAAAGGCAACATATTCCCTGTGATCAGCTGCAAAAGTTTTTGCTGTGTGGTTATTATAGTGTGTGTGTGTGTGTGTGTGTGTGTGTGGCTTTGCATAGCTGTGCTCTTTGCAATTTTGTCTTCCCTAAAAATCTACTCCTGATCGGAGCAATACAGATCCCCCTCCTAATATGGATCCCCCTCCTGATCCGGAGCCGTACGGATCCCCCTCCTGATATATATCCCCCTCCTGATCCGGAGCGGTGCGGATTCCCCTCCTGATCTGGAGCAGTACGCAACCCCCTCCTGATCCCCTATTAGAGCGGTATGGATCAGATGGCACCGCTGTGCTATCCATGTCCCCCCCCCCTTTTACTGAAATTACTGTAGGTCAATGGGGAATTGGATGTAACTGGACATGTGTCCATTTGCAACAGATCACTCCTGATCCAGCATGATCAGGTCCAGTGAATCGAACTGTGTTCCGTTTGTTTTTCAATACCTGGCTGGAGTTGGGGGTAACCGGGTGTCAACAAACACCCGTCCGTTTAGACCTGGCTGCCCATAGACTAGCATTAGGCATCCAATCCGGTCTGCCTGAAAAACTGACAGGCGGACCCAATCGGACCACCCGTGTGAAAGGAACCTTAGGGCCGCAGTGGAGGTTAAACTACAAATCCCATAATCCCTTTGCCTTTGGGAGCCATAGCATAGCTGTCAGAATCTTGCAATGCCTCATGGGACTTGGAGTTCCACAACATCTGGAAGTGTCAGGGTTGCCCATCCCTGGAAGCTGTTATTTGATAGTGTGATCTTCTTCCTCTTCCTCTTCCTCTTCCTCCTCCTTATATTATATGAATATATTATACATGGATATAATAAGGTAGAAAGTAACAATAATTAGATTTTTTTTATTGCAGTTTCTGAAGCCTCGCGATGCTGTCGACTATCCAGATATGGCGAAGGAAGCTGGTGAGAGAAGGAAACAATATTATTCTTGAGTTGTGTATCAGAGGGGATTACTGAGAATGAGCTATACACTGGAAACCTGTTATTATTCATCATCTACAATGGGAGGTCTCCCCGTAATCTTATATCTGCCTGTAAAGGGGTTTGTAGATGTTTTCCTAGGAACAGGTATCCCATCCATGCTAAACAGGATGGTAGGAAGAATCTGTCCCACCGGCTATTGTATTCTGACAAGTGGCACCCGCAGCTGTCAGAATACCTAAATAATGACTGGATCTGATTGGCTGCAGTCACTGTTCAGCTCCTTCAATTCTTCAAAATTTAGGTTTGGAGGTTTCCCACCCCTGCATGAATGTTATCAGTTTTTTGATATTGTGAAGCAGTATGGGGACATTTTTGATAGCGTTATGACGTGTACAAATAGAATGTGTCACTTATATTGTCTTTGTTCCTCCCTCTTGCAGGTCAGGGCGCTCTTGCTGATGCGGGGATTCCGTATTCCCTGGTGGAACAGGCCTGCGTTGGCTATGTCTATGGTATGTAGCAGTGTGACACAATTACAGTGATAAATCCGGAGAGACAGAAGAATGGAATACACAGCGGGGGACACCTTTCCCTGTTGAATTGTCTTCCTTCTACATGGACCTTTCAAAGATAAAAAAGAACAACGAGATACATTAATAGTCACCCAATGAGTAGTAGGAGAGATTTATTGCTGATATGTGAGAGATAACATTGTGAACACTGAGATATCCTCCTTCTCTGTGTGATGCAGCAGCAGTGATCCCGGGAAAACGCCTTTTAATATTGAACACGAGTGCCACAGTTGTGACATTTGTTCTACAACATAATCTGAAATGATGGCCAAGAAGATGCCTTAGCATAATTATCCCCTCCCCCTCCCTAAAAAAATGCAAGCTTTAGAGAGGGGGCTCTGTTACAGTGAGTGATGACATGAAAGTCTATATTCTGCATTGATTTCTTTTAAAGTTGAACTCCGGGCACAAAAACTTAAAGTATATTCCTGAATAGCCACACAGGATGTAAATCCACTTTGTGTGCACCAAATGTGTGTGCAAACCCAGATATCACTGTGCTGTACATAGCCTGTTCCGAGACCCAACAGGCTCCACCCACTACAGGCTGACTACAGAAAACCAAAGGAGGGGGCGGAGACCAGACCAGTCACCCTGTACAAGTAGAGAGAGCAGCAGTGACCGGCCTTTATGGCAGGAAGCTCCTGCACACAGGCTATGTTTCACACTAGATTACTGCTCAGATCTGTAATAAATACACAAAGCACGCCAAGATTCAAGTAGGAATACACATGACTCTTGTATTTAGGCAATATTTTTTGATCCCAGGGTTCAGCTTTAATGAATAAGGGTATTACATTTATGTTACAGGTAAGCTAGGAAGCCATTTTTGAGTGATCTATCCCGCCACACACTGTTCGTCATATGTATTTTGCTTTGTAGGCGACTCTGCCTGTGGACAGCGAGCGGTCTATCACAGCCTGGGGCTCACAGGGATCCCCATCATCAATGTCAACAATAACTGTTCCACTGGCTCCACCGCTCTTTTCATGGCCAGGCAGCTGGTTCAAGGAGGTGAGTCACAAGTGGCAAACGGGGTTGTTCAGTATTCGTGTACATGCACTATTTGTGCAGTTAAACCTTGAGGTTTACAGATTTAAGTAATCGTTCAAGTGCTAGGGTAAGGGGTGAGTGTCAAGACTTCTGTTTATAGTGTTAGGGGCAAGCTTGAGAGTTAGGAGTAGGGTTACGTTTTATGGTTTAGGAAGAAGGAGGGGTTCGGTCAAGAGAAGGTTAAGTGTTTGGGTTTGGGCCATCAGAGGATTGAGTGTTTGGGTCGGGGGGGATTCAGTGTTAGGATTTGTATCAGGGGAGGGTTAAGTGTTTGGGTCAGAGGAGGGTTAAGTGAGTTGGGTCAGCGGATGGTTAAGTGTTTGGGTCGGGGGGGGATTAAGTAATAGGGTTAGGGTCAGGGGAGGGTTAAATGTTTGGGATTGGGTCAGGGCAAGGTTGAGTGTTAAGGTGCACCTTACAAATATCGGCCGATTTTCGTAAGGTTGATGGGCAGTGTACAACCGCAAATACTGTACAATCGATCAACCTTTGACTAACCAGCAGGTTAGAAATCTTCGGTTGATCGTACGATTTTCGCAAGGTTGGTGGCGTTTTCATACGTAAAAATTCGTATGATTTACACTGCACATGCGCAGACGAAAATACGTGTGGTCGATTACCGCAATTCGTCCAGGTGCTTTCTTTTAATTACCGCTGATCCAACCTTGCGATAATGGGGGCAGGATGGGGACGCCTTACGAAAATCGTACTACGGTTCGATCATCGGACGAAAAGTGTCGTCCGATGAGCGCAAGGTGTATGGGCAGCCTTAAAGGAGAACTATGGGGTAAGTGCTTTTCCCCATAGTTGTCCTAAGGGTAACGGGAGGACACAAACTAGCGTCCTCCCGTCACCCAAGGCTCAGTATACCGCAAGCTACAGTTTGCGGTATACTGAGACGCCGCAGCTGAAACGGATTCCGACAATTATGTCTGGATCCACCCAGCTGCGTGAGTGACGGCTGACTGCCTATCTAGAGGCAGAGCCAGCTGTACCCGCCCCCTCCCCCGTCCGTTCCACCAGTCAGCGCTGGAGGATCGGAGAGGGGAATCCAGTCCCTCCCCTGTCACGGCAGACAGCCGTGACAGGATTGAGAAGTAAGCGAATTACGGTATATGTTCGCTCACTTCCCGATCTACTGAGCCGACCTGTGACAGTTTCATTGTCACAGGTCGGCTAGAACTATGAGGATCAGTGAAAAGCACTCACCTCATAGTTCTCCTTTTAAGGTTTGAGTTGAGAGAAGGTTAAGTGTTGAGGTTTGGGTCAGAGGAGGAATTAAGTATCAGATTAGAATGGATGCTTAGTGCACATACAACTGTTTTTATACAATTTGGTTGAGAGCTAACATGCATGGAGTGGAGACAAGGAGATGAGGCCCATTTGTGTCTTGAATTCTTGTGCACTTAATATGTTCTCTGTCATATTGAACCAAGTTATTATTTGACCTGGTTGATGTGCTGGCTTGTATTCGTCATCCAATAGCTCGTTTCTTCATTGCTTTTTATATTTTCATTTCCCTGCAGGTCTGGCAGACTGTGTTCTAGCCCTCGGTTTTGAGAAGATGGAGCGGGGATCTTTGAAGCCCAAGGTTGGGAATGACAATTTATTTCTCTTTTAATGTCAGTAACTGCATACAACCATCAATAACATTATCAATTACGTTTCTAAAAGTTGAAAGAACTTGAAAATGCACATTGTGATCAATAACAAATGTGGACACGGGTGCATATAAAATACATTACTACTCATTCTAGGCTGGGGACAGGTTTTATCTCATGTGCTAGATTTGAGTCTATAGTGTGCAGCCTTTCTCACCCAGGGTTTGGTGGAACTCTAAGGTTTCTAAGGGTTCTTTGATCTGTGACAGATTAATCTCCCACCTACAATGACCACCAATGCAGGGGTACAGTTCCCATTGACCTCAAATGTAAGTGGTCACTTCTATACCGGTAACCAGTATAAAGAGGCTTTTTTTTTTTTTCTTGACCACCAATGTAAGGTGCCACTTTTCCACTGACAACCAGTGTAGGCAGACACTACAATGTTCACAGTTTGTTCACCTTATCTGGTCATTATTTGTTTAATTTAGTTATTATTGTCATATAGAGCAGGCGAGTGTTGTAAAAGAATCTGCACTGGGTGTCAAATACACTAGTTATGCAATTTTCTATATTCTCCTATTTAAACGTTACAACTTGCTGATCATACTAATGTACCGAGACCTGTAGATGTAATATATGTTTGCAGGTCCCCTGAGATCTTAAATGGTTTTAGGGTTTCCTCTGGAGTGGAAGGTTGAGACAAGCTGCTGTAGACCTAGGATGGTCAGATATGCAGGTAAAATAGGACTCCAAGAACTGACATTGCAAACTTCAGAGTTCACCATAAGAGTGTTCACTCATCTCTGCCAAACATTGAAGTCTCTCAGTGGAGAAGAGAAGGGCGGTGTGGGGAGAGGGCTCCAGTGTATCTGGTGGGGATTGGAGAAGCTTTTCAAAAGATGAGGCTCACTAGAAATCTGACCTTCTCATGTACAAACGATCTTTCCATACACTAACTTTTGTATTGAAAAGATTACAAAATACACATGTGCCAGAGAATATCAGAATGATACATATTGTTTACAACATTTTGATCAGCTGACAATTGGACATACATGACAGATCAGTTGTCTGATGGAAGACATCCTACCTGTTGAAGTTATATACACAACACTTTTTGTAGAAATTGGTTGTTACCCAAAAGAAGTGTCAACTCAAAACTGAACCCTTTTTTTAATTTTATTTTTTAACAAACCTCTATCTAATGTCCGTGGGAAGCCCTGGGCAGGAGATGGCACCTGCTATACCTGAAAATGAGCGGATTAGTTGCTGTTCATTTCAAGTCGAGTGTCAGTTTTGCTGGAGAGGGAAACTGAAGAAATATTGTCAACCTCAAACACAGCGTTATCCCAGGAATCTTCTGATATTCATCAACTCTGTTCTGTAGATTCTATGTGTCATATGTAAGCTGACTTGTGTTTGTTGGTTTATTCCATCTAAAAAAAATAAAATAAATGTCAGTGCTTGAAAAACACCCATAATGTACATTGTCCAGATAGAAGTTTTACGATATCAACAATGGTCCCTAGGACAGACAGTGAGGTTAGATCCCCATACCAGTCCAAAGACAGCAATTCTCACCCATCAGTGATTCCAATCCTTCCACACCCTTCCCAAAACTAGAAAAACAATTTTATCTGGGGCTATAATTTTATCCTGAGAGCATTGAACTCTACAGAGATCAAGCTTATGGAGTGTGGATTTGCCGAAGGCAGTTAAGCGTGTCTTGTCTTGGTTTCTATTTAGCAATTACTGATCTGCTGTAAATACTTTATGATGTGTGCTCCCATGGGGATTAAATGGACTGTACAGGTAGTGCCAATCAGCTCCATTTACCTCCCTGGCATATAAAACTCAAGCAAACACTTTATACCATCCTGTTCAGGAATTTGCATGTATGCTATATTCATATTAAAGAGGAAATGAACTCTGCAAGCTGTGCCTAAAAAAAGACGGGCAGGGGGCATTAAAATAGTCACCAGTGTTTCCTGTGGTCTCCCTGCAGCTGGTATTTTCCCCATTACAAACTTGCCATGCCTTGTTCTACATTGTGGTTTTGTATGGTTTGGAGGCGTCCATCTTGGTAGAGGCAGAGCTTTTCTTCCTCATGTCGGAGCCTTCAGCAAGGAGAACAGCGAGCAGTACAGTAGCACAATCAGAAAATCTAACACCACATCTCCTGAGACTAGCAGGGGCACCAGTGCCCTATATCTCACACTGCAGATATACAGCTATTAGGCTGTAGGTACTAGAGTCCCTAGGTATTCAAGACAAAAAGTACACGTTTTACCAGTACTGCTTAGACACTATTAATATTTCGAAATGTGCCCTACAATATAAGAAATCTTTACTTTTGAGTTCATTTACACTTGAATCAGGCAGGGTAACCGCACCATATTTCTAACAATACACAATGCATTTGTGTCCTATTTCTTAGTTTGTTGACCGAACCAGTCCCATGGATAAGCATGTGGAAGTTTTGGCGAGCAAATATGGCCTGGAGTCTGCTCCTTTGGCACCGCAGTTTTTTGGAAGAGCTGGTCTTGAACATATGGAGAAATATGGTAAGTGTACAGCAATGTAAAGGAAAGGGAGAGGATGCCATTGCTGGACTCTTCCTCTGAAAATGCTTCTTGTCTGGCTGTCATGATGATCCAGTGGCTTCATTGTTGTGTTATGACTTCCATCTCAATTTCTAATTTTGCATGCTTGTTCATGTTCAATGACTTAGAAAGTATTAAAACCAGAGAGAGAGAGAAAAGACTATCATTCTTAGAATGTTACCAGTGGCATGCCACAATAGTGCTCTTAGTACAGGTTTCTTTTAAAGTTCAATTGGTTTATTACTGTAAAGAAGGGATATCCTGATACCGGGCATTTTCATGACGACTTGTACTCATGAAAATTCCCCCATGCTAAAGGCCAATACCGGCCCTTTAAATTTTTAAACAAGAGCAGCTACCTGAGGTCCTGTTTTTGCTGGGGACCTCAGGTAGCCTGCTGGGGACCTCGTGGCAGCTGTCTTTGACAGTACCAGTCCAGCCCCACATCTCCTCCTCCTTTCCGGCACCTGCAGAGACCGGCACAGCACTGGACAGCCCAACACACACCCGTACAACCCTGGAGCTGGGCGTCCGCCCACAGAGTCTTGGAGAGCCTGGAACCCACCTGTACAACCCTGGTGCGACCTGCACGCAGCCCTGTATACATTCTGTATTCTCCATTGCTGAATAATCGTGGATTGTTGAGATTTGTAGTAGTCTATAGCTGGTTGCCATTCTCCAGTGCTGTATACTAAGTGATTATACAGCAATAGAGAATGGCGACCAGCTATAGAGGAGTACAAATCTCAGCAATCCATGATTGCTGGTTGCCATTCTCCATTGCTGAACAATCATGGATTGGGTTACCCTTCTTCATAAGTATAAAGAAACTGCACTAAAATCATAAGTCTGTATTGTTCCTGAGGGTAAGTACTTGTACATGGTCTTGAAAAAAATGGTATCGGGACATCCCTACTGTAAAGCAACCAGGCTGTAAATAAAGATTGCAGCTCCAATTAACAGTGCTGCTCGGTAGGTGAGGGGTGCTGTTGATAAGAGCAGTGTTCAGACTGCAGGTGAGCCAGGCTTTTGCTTTGTGTGGAAGAGCCGCGGTCTAACTCGCCTATATGCTGGCAGCCCAGTATTTTAATCCTTGCTGCAGCACTTGACAGAAGTCCAGAAGTAAAAGCGTTCCATATTTATTGTATATAATTTTAAATTGTAGGGCCCTCCTAACCTTCTTGTTTTGAATTGTAATGTCTCCCTTTTATTTTGTGAAGTGCTACAGAAACTGTTGGTGCTAAATGAAATTTTTGATTATTATGTGAATCCTCACTAGTACAGTAAAACATAGCAAGGGTTCAATTGGGCTTTAAGAAGGACCATTTGCACTGCACTATTACTTGACTCGCATGAAAACTATAATATAAATATAATAGACTGATGGTGTTTGGCTCTTGACACCATTCCCAGCATTATATAAGTACAAGAAGCTGGAGAGTTACCAATCTGATAGCATCCATCAGAAAATATATGATCCCTTTTGTGTAAATTGAACCTGTATAATTTACCATAACGCCACAGGCAACAAATTAAAACAGATTTCTGTTTATTAAGGTCTTACTCATTCTCTTTGAAGTGTTTCTCAATTCAGTTTCTAGTCTGTACATTGGTGCCCATCCACAATTAAATCATATGGATTTCAAAAGGGAATGATGTGACATCACGTGTATGTCATTTGTTAAACTCTGTTTTATTCCTCCCACATAGGAACAAAGCCAGAACATTTTGCTAAGATTGCATGGAAGAACCACAAGCATTCAGCAAACAACCCGTAAGTGTGGTGTGACATCTCCTGAGTTTATAAAGATCCTCATCCTCTACATATAATGATACCAGTTTGTGTGTCTGCACATTGTGTGGTGTCTTGTAGGTGTGACTGACCGTAATATGGCAGTTGTATTGCTGATGAAGCATTAGGATATTCCAATACCTTCCAACCATTATTGTTTATTCTCCATCAGCAGATTTCCCAGTGCAGTTACCTTATATATGTTATGTTCTACTGATTCAGCGGTTTCAATCAGCCTGGATCAGTATGTCTGTCCAGCTACTAGCATTTTCAGAAGGGGCTTGCCGATGCAGCCTGTATTTTTCCCTGTGAGATTGTCAGGTTATCTTCAAAACCTCAAACTTCTGTATGAAAGGGCAACTTTGATAAATTTAAAGGAGAACTATGAGGTGAGTGCTTTTCACTCTCCTCATAGTTCTAGCCGACCTGTGACAATGAGACTCACAGGTCGGCTCAGTAGATCGGGAGGTGAGCGAACACATACCGGCGTTTGCTCACCTCTCGATCCTGTCACAGCCCTCTGCTGTGACAGGGGAGGGGCTGGATTCACCCCTCCCCCGCTCCGATCCAGCAGCGCTGACTGCCGGATCGGACGGGGGAGGGGGCAGGTACAGCTGGCTCTGCCTCTAGATAGGCAGAACCAGCTGTCACTCACGCAGCTGGGCGGATCCAGACATAATTGTCGGGAACCGCTTTAGCTGTGGTGTCTCAGTATACCGCGAGCAGTAGCTTGCGGTATACTGAGCTTAGGGTGACGGGAGGACACTAGTTTGTGTTCTCCCGTTACCCTAAGGAGAACTATGGGGAAAAGCCTTAACCCCATAGTTCTCCTTTTTAAGGTCCCATATAGTTACTTCATGTTGGAGGTTTAATAGTACAGTAAAGCTTTACCTTCATTGACTTTATGAAGCGCGGGCACTCTGTGTCTAGGCTTGGATGTGTGGTGGTCACCCTCCTGTAAGAATGTCAGATTAGTTATCATGTACTTTATTCTTCATGCAGGAACTCACAGTTTCAAGATGAATACAGCCTTGACGAGGTGAAACAATCCCGGAAAGTCTTTGATTATCTTACAGTTCTTCAATGCTGGTATGTGAAAACAAAGCTTGAGACAATAAAGGGTCTTGCAGAGTCTTTACAATGATAACCATGTAAAAGATCACCTTGATATAAGTAATGATATTGCTATGGGTTAATGTTTGAAATATTCTTGTTTCTATGTACAGCCCTCAGGGGCAGGGCCCTCCTTACCATCTTGTCTTGAATTGTATTGTGATTGTAATGTCTTCCTTATTGTAAAGCGCTGTGCAAACTATTGGCGCTATAAAAATCCTGTATAATAATGTATATATTTTGTCATTTTATATGTAAAGTACGTGGAGGCTGCCCTATTTACTCATTATATACACAGGCTGCTTTGCAGTGCTTCACAATAGTTTTACTGCTCCTTCTCACAATGCATGTCTGTGATCATATGCCCCAGTCTGTGCTGTCCCATGCAATCAAATTCCTTCTTTCATTTTCACATATTAGAAAGGGAAACCTAGGCAGTTTTAATTACCAGATTTTGCAAAGCTTGTGTCCTACCCCTGGAGAAGAGGTAGTCCATTTGCCTGCCAGCCTAAATTTAGACCGCCAACGGAGCACTTGTTTAGAAGCCAGTAATCAGTGCCCTGTAATCTGCTGTCAACAACAACAAAAAGTTAAACATTTTAGTATGTGTATATATAATGTTCAATTAATCTGACATTCTCCAAACATTCACTTCAGGTAAATCCTTCTGGTACATGTACTTTAAATGATGATTAATTCACCACCAGTGAATGTTTGGTGAAAGTCACCTTCACTGCGTTATAAATGCCCTTATGTGTAGATGACCGGAACCCCTACCTGTGTAGCTACTGCAGTGATACAAGCTTCCCCCTCCCAAGGTTGTGCTAATATTGTGTAGATCTAGTTTTGTATATTTTTGGGTTCGTGACTATTATATATTTTATTTTTTTTGTCCTGCAGCCCAACTTCAGATGGAGCAGCAGCTGCTATTCTAGTTAGTGAGGACTTTGTTCACAAACACGGGTTGGAGGGCCAGGCAGTAGAGATCCTGGCGCAGGAAATGGTCACCGACACCTCCAGCACATTTCAGGAGGACAGCTGCATTAAACTGGTAAGAATGGGGTACTTCAAATGTTCCTGTAAAATGTCCGGACACACGGCTATACACAGTTGAAATTTGTATATAAGTAGTTGCTTTCTCAGTTCTTTGTAAAATCATGGGCATACTACTAGTAATCCATCCATGTGCTGTACAGCTGCATTATATAAGCAGAGTGACTGCACTTTTCAGTGCATGCAGTGATGTGGACTACGTGTCCCTGCTATAACTCCAGCCTGGAGTAATATCAGCATACGGATGATAGTCATTCTGAGCTCTCTACCTCTTAACCTAAGCACCTCCCCCTCCGACTGCAAGGCTGATTTCCTGGCCCTATACATGGTGAGAGGGGTCCATGTATTTACCACCATGCAAAGAGGCTTGGCTGCTTGTATCACGATGCCAATCATAGGCCTGCAGCAAGTACATTCTGCTCCGTTTGAGCAGCTCTCGCATCAGATGTTGTCCCCTTTCCTCTGACATTGCCATAATTTACAAAAATCAGTTAAGAGTTTCATTTGTATGCTTAGAGCTTTTCTTTGCTCTAATTTATGGATTTTTATGGAGTTTTCCTGTTATATACTCCTATTAATTTCTCTCTTGTCCTTACAGGTTGGCTATGACATGACTAAGACTGCAGCCGAGCGCTGTTATCAGAAAGCTGGTGTGAGGCCGGAAGATGTGAATGTGATTGAACTTCATGATTGCTTCTCTGCTAATGAGCTGATTACATATGAAGCACTGGGACTCTGTCCTCCAGGTGGGTCCTCCCTCGAAACCTATGTTACAATATGGGGTCCCATTTCTGTTCTTTGAAAGGGAGACTATAATGTTCGGGAGTCACTGTTTATGTTCATGGGTTCTTTTTCATTTTTAAAGCGGAACTCCAGGAATGATCTTCTATGGAAACTTGCTTGACTCGATGTAAGCATCTGATATCCAGAGTGTTGCTGGGGATGCTAAAAATTACTGTAATAGTCTGTGCTACATACAGTGATAGATGTGATCTTCCAGGTGCAGCTCCAGCGGCTTCCCGTCTGCACACTGAACACAGGGAGTCGTTCGCTCAGCACCACCACCATTTAGAGAACCGCTTGTATTTTGTTCAATGAAAACAAGGCATTTTCTGATTGGAGAAGGTGGAGATTGTGATGTCACCCATCCCTCCTCTCCACTTCATCCAATCAGAGAATTCCTTGCATTAATTGAAAGAAATACAAGGCATTCTCCGAGTGGCAGCAAGTCTAATCACATGACTCCCCTGTGCTCAGTCTGCTGGAGCCAATGTCGGAAGATCATGTCTATCACTGTATGTAGCGCGGACTACTGCAGTGATTTTCAGCATCCCCAGGAGCCCTTCGGCTAGCAGATATGGATACTTGCATCTAACCAAGCTGAAGCAGTGTCTGTCCCACCCCAAAATGAACATTCTGGGGTGCAGAATGTTTCAAAATCTACAATTATATGGTTGTCGGCAGAACAGGAGGTTCCAATAGGAACACCTGTTTTGGTTACAACAGTCTAAGAGCGGAATTTTTCTCTGGGGAGAGTTTCACTCACTTTCTGTTGTATTTGTGGTACAGAAAATGAAGCGAAATATTCCCACTAGGGATGCCAATTGCAGTAAAAAGACGCCAGTGACCAAACCCTTTCATAATCTATCCAAAATATTGGAAGGAGAAAAAAAAGTGTGGCTGGAGTTTTACTTTAATGTACATTAAATGAAAATGATGAGATAAAACTGACACGGGCTTGTGATGCAAGGACAGTTTAATTAAACTCCATGTGATTCATTTTAAGGACAAGCTGGTGAATTGATTGACAGAGGAGACAACACGTATGGAGGCCGGTGGGTCATCAATCCAAGCGGTGGATTGATCTCCAAGGGACATCCTCTGGGAGCAACAGGTCAGATATGAAGTGTTATGGCCATGTGGTAAGGTGCTGGGATAAGCAAATATTGTCTGATTACAAGAGGCATGCATGTTCTTACTCGAATCCTGGTGAGCTTTGTGTTTCTGCTAGATCAGTAATCCAGTGTGAAGATTTCCCTCTGTGCAGGAGCGTCCTGTAATAGACCAGTCTCTTTGCCCTCTCTCCTTGTGCAGGGTGACTGGTTCTTGTATCCACCCCCTTTTATAGTTTTCTGCAGGCAACTTGTAGTGGGTGGAGCCTGCTGAGTAGGGTATGTGCAGCACACTGATGTCACTGCTACATTTACAAGGATATTTCTGGGTTTGGATGGGCATTTGGTGCATGTAAAGTTGGCTAACATCCTGTGTGACTATGAAGCAACATATTTAAATGAGAGTTTGTGTCTGAAATTCAGCTTTAAAGCCCAGCTCCAGCTTGAATTTTTATTTTATTTTATATAAACCAATGCATTTATTGAAAATTAAACCTTGAATTGTATAGAAGGGTACAGGGCTTCTCCTTTTATATCCAGCCTTGTGATCAGCACTGCCTTGTTAACAAATACATTGGGGGAAGGTGTATACATGCATGTCCTGATGTGAGGGAGTGCTATACTAAGAGGTGAATTCCCAATGAGCTCTCCATTTTAATGTGTGTATGGGAATTTAAAGAGACCCTGCCACCTTGCTCATGCAGTGCACATAGTGTCTTTGAAAAAGCCCCCCTTGCCCTTATACTTGCCTTACCTGCACTTTTTTGCATGCCCTTGCTCCTCCGATACCTGGCACTTCGTAGTGCATAGGGACATGTTACCTGATCCCTTGTAATAGTGCCCTGGCCTAGTAGCTAACTGCTAGGCTTGAGAACTGGCCCATCATGGAGGAGTGACATCACCGTTCCCCAGTGTCTCCAACACAGCCAATCTTAGTTCAGTGGAGGAAGGAGCTGTGAGGGAGCACAGGCAAGGTGAGTATATGGGAGGTCAGGGGGCTGCTTTGTAGAGACACTGGTAACTTTGTCCTGCATGAGCAAGGTGAAAGTATCACCAACTATCTAAAGTGCCACCTCCAAGTGTCTGCACTTTAAAAAAAATATATTTCTATAGCCTTTTCTCCCTGGGGACTCAAAGCCCCCTATTTGCTGCTGGGACAGCCATCTTAGACACCCTCAGTAGAATATCATCCTATGGTCAATTTTAGCCAGGAGCTATTTAACCTAGCAGTATATCTTTGGAGTGTAGGAGGAAATCCACCCAAAACGAGGGAGAACATGCAAACTCCATGCAGATAGTGTCTTGGCCAGAACTGGAACCGAGGACCCCCAGTTCTGCAAGGTGGAAGTATTAACCACTGAGCAGGGCCGGCCTTTGGGGTGTGCGGGCTGTGCGGTCGCACAGGGCACCATAGCAACGTGGGCGCCTGGCGACCGACACAAATTCTGTCCCCAAACGTCTGTAAAGATCGCCCGCGGGCGCGGCACCCCTCCGTGCGGACGCTGGACTACTCACTATGACAGCTCAGCCAGGCAGCACAGTAGTGACAGTGTCACTGGCAGTCTGTAGATCAATCATTAAGATGGCCGACAGCGCGGCGGCCATCTTTAAAACTGGCAACAGTACTGGCAAGCCACCGGTCGGATTCTGCAGGAAAGACGGCGTGGGCGGCTGTCCCTGCCTTGTCAGGAGCAGGGATGAGGAGCTCATAGAGCATGCGCACTGAGAAGACAAAGGAGGGCAAGGATCCGCAGAAGCTGATGTAAAAACTCTTTTCTGTAAGTAATTTTTTTTAAATAAATGCAGTGTACTGCTTAATGTCTGTTTTGTCTTTTATTATTTAAATAGGGTGTTTCTTAAAGGAACAGTAAATACAAAAATAAAAAAATACTTTATTGTAATTATGTATGATATTTGATATTAAATATACAGGTAGTGGTATTATACCGTGTTATATACAGTATATGTGGCGTTATTATACCGTGTGATTTACCGTGTGACTGTCAGTCAGAAAAGAAAAAAAAAAAGGCATACGAATGCATAACTAGATTCCTATTGGCTATTGCACTTTGCAATAGCCAATAGCAAACTAGCTAATGCACCCGCCCACTGCTGCTGTCAATCAGCAGAGGGGGACCTGAATTTTTCTATCAGGTCCTCTTCTGGTGATTGAAAGCAGCAGAGGGCGGGTGCAATAGCTAGTTTGCTATTGGCTATTGCAAAGTGCAATAGCCAATAGGAATCTTACTATGCATTCGTATGCCTTTTTTTTTCTATTCTGACGACTGCAACTGTCAGAATACTAAAAAAAAAATTAAAGCCTGCAGATAGCACAGAAGCTATTGCTTCCTGTGCTATCTGCCATCATTTCAGGGGGGTGCTCTTTCCCAGCCCCCCCTAACCCCTCCTCTGCGGATGGGGGGGTGGGGGAGCACCTCCCTGAAATGAGAGGGACACCTCCCTGAAATTGCTTCTTTCACGTTGGGATCCCTGGCATTGGCCTATACACATAGAGCACAGCAATGAAGTAATAAAATGAACTAGGATCACACTAATCCAGCATGTTATTATTCTGAGTTGTCCCACTCAAGCGGCGGCCATATTGAGTGGGGCACGTGAGATTAATAATGTGCTGGATTAGTGTGATCCTAGTTCATGGTATTACTTCATTGCTGTGCTCTATGTGTATAGGCCAAAGTTGTTGGATCTGTATGTGCGTTATTAGTAATCGATTACAATTTTTTTTGATTAATCGAACACGAATATTTTAATCATTACCAGCCCTAGTTATTATAGCATGTGATATACAGTATAGGTGGTGTTATTATATCGTGTGGTATGCTGTATAGGTGACGTTATACCATGTGATACAGGTATTTACCTCCAAACTTACTGAAATAAGAAAATCAGACACTGTCCGGCACAAGCTATTTAGGCAATGGCCACTTGATTGTCTACTGTTGTTTTATTTAATACAAATGTTTATATTGTGCTTACAAGTTTAATACCTTTTGAATAAAAGTTTTATTTTTATCATAGCTTGTAATCTGTTTCTTGGGGACTTACCGGAATGGGAGGCTTTAAATGGAGCCGGTATTGGAGAAATGGGTGTGGTCACTGAAAGGGTGTGGTCACTAGGGGGTGCTGTAAAGCTTTCTCGCACGGGGCGCCTAAAGGCCTAAGGCCGGCCCTGCCACTGAGCCACTCTGCTTCTGTTTATTGTACATGTTAACTACTTGGAGATCCTTGAGTCCTGGACAGCTCTGGTGTGCAAATTTTGACTAGCACCTTTAGTTGGCCTTAACTCCATTTTTGTTTTTTTTTGTTTTTCTATTGACTCTTCACTGCAATGCAAGTTCCATAGCAAAAGTTGAGGTACAGGAGGAGGCAGGTTGGCTCTCAACCATGGTGACTGGTTATAAATTGCTTGAACACAGTTCCTGACTGTTGAAGGTGGCAATGTGACTCCACACCTCCTCCATGCTGGAATTGTGGCCTTTAAGGTGATTGGATAGTAGATGGGTGTGAAAGATTTTAGGTAAGATAGGGTCCACTTTAAGCAGTAATATGTTTGTTTGTTTTTGCATTGCTTTCTATTCCTTAGTCAACTGTCAATTTATTATAGTCCTTAAAGCAACAATTACAGACCTCTTCAGAGTCTCTAAATTTCTTGACTGTTTTAAAGGTGTGTGTGGTTTTTTTGCTGTTGTTTTTGTTTTGTTTTTTTTTTAAACTCGATATAAACTGGGTATTTATATAAAGTTTAATTCCTCGTGTATCTACATGGCATGCTTTTATCTTCCCAATAATAGGTTCTTATGTCATTGGACATCAGCACTGGACATACCGAGAGGAATTTATCAAAACTGGAGCAGATAAAATCTGGAGCAGTTGCCCAGGGCAACCAATCAGCTTCTCTCAAGTTTGTTCAGTTAAGCATGAAAATGAAAGAGAGAAGCTGATTGGTTGCCATGCACAACTGCTCCAGATGTTGTCTGCTCCAGTTTTGATAAAAATTCCCCTCACTGTGTCTTTGTTCATAGCTAATAAGCTTAAAGTATATTTAACTTGAATTTGCTCCTGCACGCTCTGCAGTTTTGGCATTTGTCATTAAGGGTCATGAGGTACAAGTCCTCATTTCACTACAGATGCCTCCAAGACTCTTCACACACAATTAGTTAAATGTAGGACAACAGAGTTCATAGGATCTTCGTTAACATTACCTAGACATTAATACATGAATGCTTATGTACACTATCAAAGTCCTTTCTTGTATCCACCCATCCTGTAGTTTTCGGCAGGCAAGCTGCAGTGGGTGGGGCCTGCTGAGTAGGGTTTGTGCAGCACATGATGTCACTGCTACATTTACAAGGTAAAAATCTGGGTTTGGAAGGGCATTTGGTGCATGTAAAGTTGGTTTACATCTTTTGTGACTATTGAGAAACGTATTTAAATGAGAGTTTTTGTGTCTGGAGTTCAGCTTTAAAGCCCAGCTCCAGCTTGATTTTTGTTCTTATTTTATACAAACCAATGCATTTATTGAACATGAAGCCTTGAATTGCATAAAAGGGCTCAGGGCCTCTCCTTTATATCCAGCCTAGTGATCAGCACTGCCTTGTTAACAAATACAGGGGGACGGGGGCACATATACATGTGAGGCAGTGCTATACTACGAGGTGAATAAACCAATGAACCAATGAGCTCTCCATTTAAACACATATATGGGTATTTCAAAGTCCTTTCAGTGCCTTCCATTGTCTATATATTGTAGAATATTAAGTGAGAAAGTTAAATTTGACAGGTTTTTCCTTTCAAAAAGAAAGGTTGAACACCACTAATGTTTATCAGTTTCTGCTTTTTATATAAGGAGTTGTATTGCTCATTATAATAATGGAGGGGGTGGGCACAGGCATAGAATGTGTCAGGTCCTTGATTGCATGTTTATCTTTTCTTCCATTTCAGCAGATGTGTGTTAACTGGTTTCCTTAAAATGTATGTTAAAAGAAAAAAAAAAAACAAATGCAATCTATCACTGCAATACATACACATTTCCCCATGTGTTTTCGCATTGATCTGCTAGAAGTGCTCTCAGCTTTTAAGCTCTTTTGGCTTGCTGGGATGACAAACTGCATTTTTATGGACTGTGTTGTTGTGTCAGCCCTGCCCAGTTATGTTTTGTTATACTACTTAACCACTGCAACTCTCAGATCTCTACAACATAAAGGCTATTCATTCTGTAGTCCCATGATGAGAAATTGGAGGGCTGCTTGAGATAACACAAGACAGTTGCAGAGGACACAGGGCACCTCTGAATTTCAGAAAACATCAACCTTTTTTTTGGAAAAAAAAAGGGGGGGGGGGTTGTGAACTTCTAAAACCTTTAATACTCAAAAGATGTTCCTAATGGTATATTTAATAGACCCAAAAGTGAGTGAATAAGTTAATTGTAAGGGTTCATGTACACACTAAGTGATTTGTACTTTTTTTATTAGGCCGATGTTATGTAAGCAAAGATATATAATTCTACAAATAAAGCTGGGTATATAAACAGGCCTTGATTTCCTAATATAATGCAGAGCTTGCACACAAACATTTCTGTGTGAAAGGGCAGAGTGGGTGTAAACAGTGCAAGAGACCGTGGACAGGTTTGTCTCTTATCTTCGTGTATATACGATATTATGGAGTTTGAGCTCCTTTTTATCTGTGTGACAGATGGAGGCAGAGAGAGTTCACACTGCATACCTTGAACTTCACTCCCATCCCTTAGTTTTCACTCTGACACAGATCAGATACCAGAGATAAACGAACAACATAGATTTACTCCACTACTAGTGTAAACTGATCATTTCGTACCTGCTCCATAAGGTCAAAGTTCTTTATTTCCCAACCATGATGAAAACCAGGTTTGGATTCGGGAACATGACAAACTTGTCACCGATGGGCCTAAATCCCTGTGAAGATTGTCCCTGAGCCTATATCCCAGTCCTAATAATATCTGAGCCTACATCCCAGTGATGACTGTCCCTCAGCCTACATTCCATTCATTAGCATCCCTGAGCCTGCATCCCAGGAACATTAAAAAAAAACTTCTGTTGCCAATGAGCTAAGTACCAGTAAGGACCATTCCTGTGCCTACATCCCAGATTTTTTTCATACCTGAACCTAAATCCCAGTAATATTCTACCTGAGCCTACATCACAGTGATGACCATACCTGAGCCTATATGCCAGTCATCATTGTAGCTTAGCCTGCATCCCAGTGATGGCCTTGCCTAAGCCTACATCCCACTGATCACACCTGAGTCCCTGGCAATATCCCAGTGATAAATGTCCCTAAACCTACATCCCAGTAATAACTATTCCTGAGCCTACATCCTACTGATGACCATACCTAGGCCTTCAGTAATTCCCAGCGATGACCATACTTGAACCTACTGTACATCCCACTGATGACTGTCCCTGAACCTACATCCCACTGATGACCATTCCTGAGCCTACATCATAGTGATGACCATTTCTGAGCCTTCTTTTTATTATTGACCATTTCTGAGCCTCCATCCTAGTGTTGACCATTTCTGAGCCTCCATCCTAGTGTTGACCATTTCTGAGCCTCCATCCCAGTGTTGACCATTCCTGAGCCTCCATCCCAGTGATGCCTGTCCCTGAACCTCCATCCTAGTGATTATCATTCCTGAGCCTATGTCCCAGTGATAGCCATACCTGAGTCTACATCCCTGTGATCACCTAAGCGTAAAACCCACTGATTACCATTCCTGAGCCCACATCCCTGTGATGACTGTCCCTGAGCCCGCATCCCTGTGATGATCATTTCTGAGCCTACAGCCTAGTAATAGCCACAGCTGAGTCTACATCCCTATGATGACCATTCCTGAGTCTACATCCTAGTGATGACCATTCCTGAGCCTGTGTCCTATTGATGACCATTCCTGAGCTTACACTGATCGTACCTGAGATCTGACTGGCTTATAACATCAACTCTCTCGTGCCTCTGCCCTCATAACTTTAGTATTACACTAAGTGTTTGTCATTCTTTTTAAACACTTGCTTTCCATTTGAGTCAGAATGAAAGCTGCAGCATTTGACCAGAAAAGGCGGCCTTTGACATGCTTTCTAGCAGTTCAGACACACCTCAGTAGGACAGGCTGCAGCCAAAGAAATGGTGGATAACATCGCTAGAGTCCCTCTTTAAATAAGTTGCTGATTCATTACTTGAAATGTGCCGGCAGGTGCAGTTTTAATGGCTAAATTCACCTTTCTGTCGCCCCGTCTTTCCTATTACACCCATATTTAGGGTATAACATTAAACATGAAGGTCAGATCGCAAACCCTCTTTTAATTAATCTACATCAACTGCATCAATCAGATTGCTTTTAATGATAAGTAGACTAGAAACCGTTGACTGTAGAAGATGATAATTTTATGCATTTTATTTATTTATTTTTTAACAAAACTAAAATTAGTCTCTTTAGAAGTCATTTATTTAAAAGATCGGAATTTGCCTATTTCATTGTTTTCACCTCTTACATGACGACAGTAAAAATTCTGAATTGTAATAAAACTTTTATCTGGCAAAAGGTATTTGCCAGATGGATTCCAAAAATGTAAACGATCGGTACAGTTATTAACTGTTTTGGTGACTAGCAATAGTGAGTGCTTGTATTGGAAATCGCAGATCTAACTTCTTGTGAACAACAAAGGGTTAAGGTTGAGTTGCAGCTCCACATTGTGGCCCCCAGGGTGTGACAAGGAGCCGGAAGAGGAGCACTGACTATCTTTTCTCTGTACACAGGCCTGGCTCAGTGTGCAGAACTGTGCTGGCAGCTCAGAGGTCAGGCCGGTAAAAGACAAGTTCCTGGAGCCAAACTAGCCTTACAACACAACATCGGACTTGGGGGAGCCGTGGTGGTCACCTTATACAAGATGGGATTCCAGGACGCAGAGCCCAGGTGAGCAGGCTATACTTGTATGCTCTCTGCTAATCATTGTAATCTAGGACACACCACCGTTTGCTGCTCTAGGAATTACATAAGGCTTGTGTATTCCGGATCGGCTTGTGCAGATCAATCAGCGCCTCTGCAATCCATATGTAGGGTCACTGATCATCAGCTGGGAGGAGGCAATATGAGCGCAACTCCATTGTGTGTTCATTGTCTCCATTGTGTGTGAAAGTTCAGATGTATGAATGCAGCCTTGCAGAAAATAACCCGCAGTTCTTTGTGGTGTATTGTGGGTAATGCTTGTCAAAGATACAGAACTGCCGTTAGCATGTGACCGTCATCTGCACAATACATCATCTGTGATTTAAAACCCTCCATAATTGTGCAACTAAACAGAGTATCATTTCTACGTATCCGGTGGATTTCCTTGTTTGTTTTAAGCTTGATTTTTTTTGTTTCTGTTAAAAATGCAACAAAACTGAATTTTTTTTAAACATGGGCACAGTTGAGTTCTGGCCGTGATACCTTCTTCATTGGGACTAAGCCTCCATTTACATCCACTGCGATGCGGGAGTGCATGTGAACCTGCATTGCGTTTTTCAATGTTGGGAGCGCTGCAGTCGTATTAGGAATTCTGGGCAAAGAAAAAACGTAGTGCCCCCCTACCCCCCTTTCACTGCAAGGGTTAAGTGCTCGTTTTGCCTAGGGGACTCAAAGCTGCTTTACTTGCCCGATCCCTGCTCCGGTGGTGGTCAAAGCTCACCTCTCTTCCCCTCCACTCCTGATATTTCAATGTCCCTTGGTGTTCTCGTGTCTAATGCAGATCAATGAACCTGCATAAGATGTGAGCTTAGAACGCCGGAGCAAAGGGAAGAAGAGGCTGTGGGGACCAGCAGGACCGGGGGTTAGGTAAGTAAAATGGCTTGATTTGCGCCCCCTAGACAAAGCGAGCACTTAACCCTTGCAGGACCGGGGGTTGGGTAAGTAAAATGTCTTTATTTGAGCCCCCTAGACAAAGCGAGCACTTAACCCTTGCAGAACAGGGGCAGACCCACTGCAAGCCTAGCCCAATGCATGTGCATTGTATTGTACCACTTCCCATGGTAACCTATTACCTAAGAAAACATTCTACTGGTGTATGGCCAGCTAAAAAGAAATGGAGAGGCAGCCATTGCTTCTGAAAATGCTAGTCAGGATCACTCTCCCATCTTTAAAGGTTTACTATGGTCATAAAAAAGAAAATTGCGATTGGTCCCCCCCACCACCACCAATTGACCAGCAGTTGTATATATTTATTGCTCAGGAGGAATCACTGCGGCAAGAAACATATCTGCCTGACCCTCTGTAGTGGGGGAGTCCCCTGGTCCCTGATCTGCACTGTGGTCTTTCCTCTTAATGAATCCACTTACTGCTCATGTCAGTATGCAGCACCATGTGTCCTCATGTGACATGTGTGGGAGGTAATGTAAGGTCTTCTTCTCACGGTGCAAAGGGTCTCATATTCATTGGTCTCTTTTCTCTATAAAATACACACAATTGGTGTCAATGGGAAATTACTATTTTAAAGCTGATCTCCGGCCTTCCCTTCTGTCTTGCACAGTTGTACAGACTCCTCTCCGGGACTGGAATGGCTTATTCTGATTTCACTGCACACTGTGAGCTTCTCCCAATGTGCATTAGAAGCTGCAGTAAGTCTGATAGAGCCCGCCTCATTTCCTGGCTGGAGGACTTCCAGCATCGTCTAGCCCTTTTCTTCCCAACCTGACTGTCACTGGCGCAGCCTTTTATTTATTGGATTTCAGTTCTGTCAATCATGAAGGCTCAGCATCACATGTGTGCGTTACACAGGGCGATCTTCATGCAAATATAGCCTGCCTAGGAGTGCCCACTACCCCGGACTGACATCTACCAATCAAGGCATTTTTTTATATTTGCATGACTCCTCCCAAGAGTCAGCCCACTGCTTGCATCAGGGTTGAGAGGAGGACAGAGGCGGGGTGCTGTGATGTTTTCAGGAAGCTATGTACAGCATCCTCCTGGCCCCTCCCCCGTCGCGGTGTATGAGGCTAAAATTCCTACGGTCACTGAGCAGTGCGATTTTATGACTGCCACATGATTAAGCAATGTCTCTGTCTCTCCAGATCTACCCGTATCCAGCTGGCACCAACCAGCGCTGAGGAGGGATTTAAAGCCGATTTTGTGTTCAAGGAGATTGAAAAGAAACTGCAGGAGGTCAATGGAGGAGAAGGAGGAGGGGGGGGGGGTAATTGTGTATTTCTTTTACAATGTGTTTGTCAGACAAAAAAGTTTAGTTTGACCCTTAAATACAGATTACTGCGGTCAATGATCACCTTGCTTATCAAGTGATAAGAGATCGTTCGAGCGCAAGAAATATTCATAGGGCAAGAACCTTTTGTGTCCTAGAATGAACCCTAATGACAAATTTCTTAAAGCAGAACTCCCTTGCAGTGGGGCTTGTTTTGGTCTAGGGAGGAAAATAACAATGTACTCCCTTGATCTCTGAGCCAGCCGACTGTGACAGTGCTCCTACCAACCTGTCTCCTCCTAGGCTGCAGCAATGGTTTGTCCTTTGGCAGCCTCAAGTCCTATACGCCATGTGTAGGACGCAGGGCTGTAGCTACCATGGGGCGAGTGAGGCACTCGCCTCAAGTGCAGCTGAGAGGGGGCGCAGCCAGGGCCAGCCTGGCTGCGTCCCCTTACTCCTGTTGCCATGGCAAGCACAGGGCACCATGGCAACAGGGCCGCCAGGTGGCCAACACAGACGCGCCTTGGCAGGGAGAAGAGGATAGGCACGGGCTCCAGCTTGTCCTCGGATCCTCGCTGCTCTCCCCCGCCTGTATGGGCAGAGGCAGCAGGGATCCGATGAGAAATAGAGCGCTGGGGGGGTGGAGGCGCTCCCTCCTCTGCCCCCATCCCCCCCGCCGGCTTCAGTGATCCCTTATCCGCCCCTGCTGGCTTCAGCACTCAGGATGGCAATTTCTATCTCAAAAGGGAAATGTCAGGGGTCTGTTTAGACCCCTAATATTACCCCGAACCCCCCCTTAACAGTAAATTAAAAAAAAAACCCCACAAACACACTCATGCACACAGATTATTAGACATAAAATTTGTTTTGGACAAAATGAGCAGAAACTAAAAATGTTTTCATTAGTTTCTTCAAACAAAACAAATGTTTATGCTATTTTGGATTTGTCCACATGCGCGCCGCTGTCCTGGAGGTGGGGCACATGACGTCACATGATGCAGCGTGTGCGGCGTCGAGTGACATCACACGTCTGTTGGGGGGCACAATTTTCTATTCTTGCCTCGGGCGCAAAATGAGCTAGCTACGGCTCGATGATTTGCAGGACCTTAGACTACTGCAGCCATGGGGAAGTGAGGCGGAAGGGACCGATCTCAAAGCAAGCCGGCTCTGAGGATCAGGTGAGCATAACTCCCTCCCTAAACGAATCTCCCAATAGGAGGAAACATGTCAACAGAATAATGAACGTATTACCATTGAAACTGGTACAAGTACCAATACAATTTTAAAAAACTATCCTCATTTTGTTAACTACATCTGTACAGCACAGATCCAGCCATTATGTATACAAATCACGGGCAAAATATATATAAAACCTGGTATGATAAAAAACAAAATAGCCTTTTCTACACATATAATCCAAATGGACAATATCCAAATAGTTTCAGCTGTATCAAACTATAACCGGGTCATCCTATACTGGTTTTGTGCACCCTTAAATGTTTTTTATTGGTGTCTGTGACCCATTAGGTAGATTCGCCCTCTGTATTTGTGCTGGTGACCACCTGGTTATCACTGGAAGTGAAAGAAAATCCTGCATTCTGAGTTGTCACCAAATGAGGAATAGATGAGAAATCTTACAATGGGGACACTAGTTCTGATGACCACCAAGGATTTTTTTTTCTCTTTGGAGGGTTTTCCTCTCGCTTCCTGTGGCTATCAGACAGGTGAAGGGAAAATTTCCCAATGGGACACAGATGGTGGAAAAGGCTGATGGGTTATAACTAGAGATGCACAGATACCGGTATTTCGGTATCAAGTATTTTTTTTTTCTGTACTCGCCGATACCAAATACCGAAAGTCCCATTAAGAAAGCCAGGAGGCGTGTAAAAACTCGCCACCCGGCTTCCCGAATAGCAGGGAAGCCGTCTCCAAACTTCTTGTCACTTGGTGACGATTAATCATGGAGCCGGCTTTCTGGCCAATCAGGAAGCCAGGCGCCGTGTAATGACGTGGTGCCTGGCTTCCTGATTGAGCCGGCTTCCCAGCCAATGCTCCCTCGTCATGAGGTGACGAGGGAGAATGAAGCCGGCTTCCCGGCCAATCGGAAAGCCGGGCAGTGCGTCATTACACTGCGCCCGGCTTCCTGATTGGCCAGCTTCCCAACCACAAGTGATGAAGGAGCATGGAGCCGGCTTCCCGGCCAATCGGGAAGCCAGGCAGCGTGTAATGACACACTGCCCGGCTTCCTGATACAGGAAGTATCGGGCTAGGCATCGGAGCATTGGGGCGAGTACGAGTACTCTCCCAAATACTCTGCATCTGCACGATACTAGTATAGGTGCATCTCTACTTATAACACTATCTTACTCTATCCAAAGCAAAAAAACAATGCATTGGCTTTAGTTCTACTTTAACATAACTACTTTAATGTATTACTGCTTACAGCCTACCTTTTGTAGTTGGCAACAAAAAAAAAGTAATTCTTACCTGTTAGCAGCTCTGAGCACCCACCACCATCAAAAAGGGTCAAAACAGGCTTTTTAGGCAGAGCCACTTATTGGCTACAAATAAGGATCTTTTGATTGGTTCAAACTGGGTTCAGTCTGAACCTGAACCATCCCTAGTTACTAGCAAGATCACCAGGTAAAAAGAACCTGGAAAAAAATGAATGCAACCACCACATCTAAGGATGGGCAAGCTGCAAAAATGTTGTTCCCTTTTTAAGGTCTTGATTCTGTTATTGTTAATGAAAAGAAATTGCTTTGTGAATGTCAGGTGGCGGTCTATGATTTATTCACTCTTTTGTGTCCTACAGGAGGGAGAGCAATATGTGAAAAAGATTGGAGGAGTGTTTGCCTTCAAGGTAAAAGATGGACCTGGAGGGAAGGAGGCCAATTGGGTAGTTGATGTGAAGAACGGAAGGGGATCTGTGCACCCTGACTCAGGTAAATCTCTGATTCTTGGCTAATGTCAATGAATCCTTGTCTGTGTGTGCAATCATTGTGTGATCTGAAACATCAAGTATCAGAACTGATGTGTATATACTTAGAATAAGCATTTGAGGAGACAGCAGAAAAGAAACTAACGGACTTTGCACTCATTTTATAGTACTGAAAGTAATGCTTTAGCTTGGTAGAAGGCTCTTTAGGGCCCATGCACACAGGCACAGAGGGTCATGTACTGTAACAACTGCCCATATTTCAACACGTCGGAGTCACAGGTATCTATACAAATCATAGGTTGCAAAGGGCCGTGTACAATATAAACCATCCATATTTCTCTCGCCTGGTAGTCACCGGTGTTCTTAGGAATTTTTTATGGAATTTTAAACCTTATGGTCATATTAATATTAATACTAATTTTAAGTTGTAACCCTATCTAGTCACCGGTATTGCCTATACCCACAAATGAATGACCAGATGTGCTGTGCGCTGGTAAACACTGATCCTAGCATATACTGTATATGTGGCATACAGGTACAGATGTATGCCTCTGGATGCAGACTGTCTGAATCCAGGGACATACATCTGCTGCTCTATGAATGTATACACTCGGATCAGAATTTACCAGTGTACAGCCGTATCCTGTCATTGATTTGTACAGGCGACTGTATGCCATGCCATGCCATACCTGGTTGGTTTTTTTTTACTGTGTATGTCCCTTTGTGCCTGTATGCAAGAGGAACTGTACCCACCAAAATACTTTTAGGGCATGCCAACTGTCAAGGTTGCCAGTGAACTTATTTCTGCTCTCAACCCAACTTTTTAAGCCCTCAAATGGCTGGTGTCATAACTGTTCACATGTGCAGCATCATGGCAACTGCAATCCAAAAAGCAGCTAAGATGGCATCTTCCTTGGCTCTAAGGGATAAGAGGTTGTAGTCCCTCGATAAGGTGCTTCCTCTTACCTTGTCGATACTCTTATCTGCCACTTCAGCTGCCCCAAAAGCTTATCCAAAGATTGACTTTTAAAAAAGGCAAAATTTGCATATGGCTAGGAAGGCTCTCCACCGCCACCATTCCCCATGTGATAGAGCAAGGGCTGTTGATTTGGCTGCTCAGGAACCTTGAACTGAATTGTGGGAGATGGGATCAAAGGAGGGCATACACCTTATAGTCCTGCTTCCAAGTTGGAGCATTATCCATTTCTTTTTTGCTCCCATTAAGCTCCTTTTGCTCCAGATCTCCCAATGTGTTACATTTCCCCTCACTAACAAGAAAAATGTGTCCTTTTTCTAACTTTGAGATTTCCCTTATTGTCTGTCCTCCCTCCTCTAATAACTACTCTCGTCCCATTTATTAAAAGACTGAAACAAGGACTTGTTCCCAATTTGCATTAAAATTAATTTGCTATGGGCAACACAGACGGCTGCAAAGAATTTCCTAAAGCCTTGTACTGTAGGCCGTATGTAGTTGCATTCTTGGTTCTTGCGGCCTGCGTCTTCCTGTTGTACACCACGTTCACAAAGACACAGCTGCATGCTGACCAGAACTTGTACAAGTACGGATACATGCCCTTGGATGTGCCCAAGAACATACATCCATACCTGTTTCAATGTGCAAGTTTAGAATGGCATATAGCCACGTGCAGCCTCGCATGCAGCACCTCTCCCTCCCGGATGCAGGTTTTTTTCACACATGCATACTGTATGGCTGTGCATATCCATGGGAATAAGCCCTTAGTGATATTCGTTCCCCTCATTTTGTTTTGGTGACATCAACCCTAGCAACAAAAAGAAAAAAAAACTCTTCTGCCTTTTCCCCCTCCTAAAGGAGGAAGAAAGTTTTGCCAAGGCTTTACATTGTCAAAGGGACACTGGAAAATAGTTCAGCTATACTAAATGTTTGCCAATTCAATGGATTTGTCGCTTTCGTTGCAGATAAAAAGGCGGATTGCACAATCACAATGGCGGACTCTGACCTCCTGGCTCTGATGACTGGAAAGATAAATCCTCAGACGGTAAGTTGTGTTTTTTTTTTGGGTTTTTTTTTGTAAAGCTGTTGCACATTTTTTTTTACCTGAGACCCTTTCAGTAACAGCACTTCCTGCTACAAGCTGACAATGTTACCAGTTGTTTTTAGCATGCTGTGCAAGCTCCTTCAGTTAGCCTATTGGCTGCCTATGGTATAGACCGCTCAAGGACTGAAGGAGCACTCATGACAGCCTGACAAGGTTGGTCCTAATTGAGAGGCAGTGGGTTAGCGTTGTTAACTCGCAGCAGCAAGTTCCGTTGCTGGCAGGGTGTCAGGTAAGACAATTCAGAACAGATTCACAAAAAGTAAAGTTTGCTTAACCAGTTGACATCCGCGGTGTTAAACCCCCTTCCCATCCAGGCCATTTTTCAGTATTCAGCGCTGCGGTACTTTGACTGAAATTTATTCCGTCATGCAGCGCTGTACTGAAATTAATTTTATACCCTTTTTTGGGGACAGATAGAGCTTTCTTTTGGTGGTATTTATTCACCACTGGGGTTTTAATTTTTTACTATATTAAGGGAAAATTACCAACATTTTTTTAAAAAAACAGTTTCCCCTATATTAAATGATAAAACATTTATTATTACCCAATTTTTTGGTAAAATATAAAAGACGGGGTCACGTCGGGTAAAAAGACACCAAACATGTCAAGCCTTAAAATTGCGTGCGCGAAACCTCAAAAAACGATTACCCAAAATTGGCCATAGGCGACGCTTTAAAAGCTGTTACCGCTCATCAGTTTAGTGTTATCAGTGATTGATGGCCCTAAAATGATTGCTCTCACTGCAACGTTCGTGGCGATATGTAACATGTGTAGCGCAATTGTCCTTTTTGCGTGCTGGGGCACCGGGCGTGTATTTACGTTTTATAGGTGGGTGGGGGAGTTAAACATTTTGGGTTTTTTTGCACTTATTGTTATTGCTATTATAACAATCCCCCTATATAATAGCAAAGGCACACTGACAGGTCCTCTTTATGGATATACTGTATACAAGAAGACATGATGCCCAACATAATGGAAGACAATAGCATAGCCCAGTAGTAGGTGGCCTCGGTACGCCAGCTGTGGTGAAACTACAAATCCCATCATTGCTTTGGGTGTCATGCCTGAGGCTGTCAGTCTTGCAATGCCTCATGGGATTTTTAGTTCCACAACAACTGGATGTCTGTAAAGGTTCTCATTTATCCAGGTCATGGTATATCTGTAAAAAATAAGTCGAGGCAACTGGACTTGCTGTATTTTTCTTGAAGATGTTTCACTGGTCATCCAACCAGCTTTCTCAATTCAGAATAACTTGTACAGGGAATCCATTTATGCAAAAATGGAGAATCCAAGCTTGAATAGAGGTGGGAGGGGGTGAGACATCATTGTCTGCAACATACAATGCTGTTTTAGCAGGCTATTTAAAGGAGAACTATGGGGTTAAGGCTTTTCCCTATAGTTCTCCTTAGGGTAACGGGAGGACACAAACTAGCGTCCTCCCGTCACCCTAGGCTCAGTATACCGCGAGCTGTAGCTCGCGGTATACTGAGACGCCGCAGTATACCGCGAGCTGCTGCTCACGGTATACTGAGATGCTGAAGCGGATCCCGACAATTATGTCTGGATCCGCCCAGCTGCGTGACTGACGGCTGGCTCTGCCTATCTAGAGGCAGAGCAAGCTGTACCCGCCCCCTCCCCCGTCCATTCCGCCAGTCAGCGCTATCGGAGCAGAGAGGGGGGAATCCAACCCTTCCCCCTTCACGGCAGAGAGCAGTGACAGGATCGAGAGGTGAGCGAACGCCGGTATGTGTTTGCTCACCTCCCGATCTACTGGGCTGACCTATGACAGTCTCATTGTCACAGGTCGGCTAGAACTATGAGGTGAGTGAAAAGCACTCATCTCATGGTTCTCCTTTAACACCTCCTAGCTCTGAATATGGAAATGTACGTCCACCCGCCAGGAAGCATCCACTGTCTGCCCGTATTTTTACAATGGGCGGATGGCAAGGGGTTAATTATAATTTTTTGGCCATTTGACTCAGTCTGTAATTGTTTAAAACCTCTTTGTAAATGTATATTTGCTAATCACATCCGTGTCCCTCAGGCTTTCTTCCAGGGCAAGCTGAAAATCACCGGAAATATGGGACTGGCCATGAAACTGCAGAGCCTGCAACTGCAGCCAGTGAAAGCCAAGCTTTAAAGTGATAATCCGCTACCAGACAAATGTGAATCACGCAGATGAAGTCCAATGGTATCGAGATGATGAGAAAGACATATTGGGATCAACGGCAACTGCAGCCGTCATGCAACAGGGAAGTGATGAATCATCTCCCATTTATTTCTGGAGGGGCCAGTACCTGAAATGGGAGTGAATCCCTGTTCTATCATACCATACTATACTATACTATACTGTATGTCGCTCTGTTCTGAATTCCTGAAATGTGCATACTGTATTGCCGACCTCTCTAGAAATAACGTGGGTTGTATGGAGGCATCACCCTGTAATAGTCTGGCTTCATCTACTTGCAGTTTTCATCCCATGAACACTAATGGACCTAAATGATGTCTGCAGCAGATTAATAGAGTATCAGTAATTGAACTAATCCCATTGATCAGACAGAAGTGACTTAACAATGGAATCCTGCTCTGTCTCTGGATTTATACACCTTCTTCAGGACTCGATTAGAACAGAATATTTCTCTAACCTGTTAATAGTTTAAATGACTTTTAATTAAAAAAAATGCTAATAGACTGTGTTTTTTGTTTGTCTGCATATACACTGAGCTTCCTATACCGGGGCTCCTCGGCCCAGCTCACACGGGCAGTTTTAATCCCAGCTTGTAAACATTATCTAAACAGAAATGTAACTTTCAGTGAGTTTAAGAGCCTGCAAGTACAGAAAAATACCCGATGAGCTGCCAGAAATGCTCTCCGCTCCTAATTTCCTCTTGTGAAATGACGCCATGTGCCTTTTTGTAGACAGAAATTGCCAGACTTGAGGGTCTCTATATCAAGGTTTTCACTCAAGACTCCCACAGCTTTCACCATTTCTCTAATTGGATTTAGCTGGAAAAGTGTGAAAATCCAGAGAGAAAGTTGTATGAACAGACTCCTTGGTGTCAGCCCTGTCCAGTTCTCTGTTAAGCTATGGAATCCCAACCATCCTCCTCATCCCCAGGGCATAGATGATTACATATAACACCCCTATCAAACAATACATATTGAACACAAACAAAAAAAGGAAGAGTAACAATTAGGAATATTAAAAAAAAGCAAAGGCCATGGCATCAATGAGACCCGGATACTGAGTGGTATACAGTCTGTGTGAGATTGCATTGTGTGGCTGTGCTTCGACAGACGGTGTAGTGGAGACCTAAGGAATATGGGGGATATGTGTTGCCCCCCCCCCAGACATCTACCTGTATCATCAGGCCATACAGTTATCCAGGTTTGTTGATTGGTGTTGGCACAAGGATTTGAAACTATGGGGCAAACTAGAACAAACCATTTCTAACACTCCACTGTCTTCCCTGCCGTGGTGTCCCGGCCCTATACCTCGAGAGATGAAATTGCATCCAACCATAGGTGCCACATGGCGAATTGGCCAAGCCACGTTTCAAGCCAAACAACTTTCACTTTTTCCGTCCCCTCTGTTCCCAATTGTTGACAGTTCCCAATTGTTGACTGTGCAGTCCCAGTACAAAGACGAGGCAAACTGCTTGGCTTACAATCAGCCCAGTTCGCATTGTTCTGCGGTGGTGTGCACTGAAAAACATTACGGCATGCAGTACCTTTTTTTTTTTTTTATTATTATTTCAGTGCAGAGTGGTGTGACGCAGTACAAGCACACCACGGTGTACCACAGAAGTAAATGAAATGTCACTTGTGACATCGCAATAAAGTTCTAACAAAAAGGTAATGATGTCATCAGCTCTGTTCCTCACAGTGAACACCAGCGTTCAGCCTGGCTGTTTATATATAAACACATTGGGTGAATTTATTAAAACTGGACCAGACAAAATCTATAGCAATCGCCCATGGCAACCATTCAGCGTCTATCTTTACATTTCAAAGCTTAACTAATCAAACTGAAGACAGAAGCTGATTAGTTACCATGGCCAACTACTCCAGATTTTGTCTTCTCCAGTTTTGATAAATTCCCCCCATTGTGTTAGAAGGTGTCCCCCTTCGAACACACATCCAGCACACACATAAAGCCGACAGTTTTTCAGCTTGCAGCTGAGCAAAGATCCATTGAATAATCTCCACCGAAAGCCGCTCTCCTTTTATGATGACCTTATCATGGAGGTCTGGAATCTCTAACCCCCAGATGAACAGGTGCCACTATTCCAAGATCCACAGACACTCTCAATCAGGTCTCTTTCCAGAGTTATATCACCTTTCTTCTCCGTATGCGATCATAAAAATAGAAAACATCCCACAGTGCACACTGTCCTATTCCATTGCTTGCATTGTATACTAGGAGTGTGATTAAAATCTTTTTATTGTGAATGTGAGATTTGTTTTTAATATGATGGTGTGCACTCTGTCAGCTATGACACAGACAGCTTCTTCTAAAGTTGTGAAATTGGATGATATATATATAGCTGGATATTTATATGTATGTATGTATATGGTGGCATTACAGGAGAACTATGAGGTGAGTGCTTTTCACTCACCTCAAACAGGGTAACGGGAGGACGCTAGTTTGTATCCTCCCGTTACCCTAAGGAGAACTATGGGGAAAAGCCCTGACCCCATAGTTCTCCTTTAATGACCAGCTGGACCCAGTTAGTGGTTTCTATGACATTGTGTCTAATAAAAGTTGATCTATTGATCATAGAAATAGAGTGTTGCCTATTTTGTGTTACAGATTTATTTTTAGATTATTTTAGAAGTGTTCCTCAAATTCCCCTTTTTAGTGTTTTGTGTAGTGCAGTTAAAGCAGGTTAAAAAAAACACCTCAGTGCCACAATGAATGAAATCCCATACTCCTGCATGAGTTATGTAATTTTGGCTTAGCCAATAAGATGGCTGAGGATCCAGGACTTGGAAGAAGACAAGGGATGTCCCCATAAAGTGAAGGGAAATCTAAAATTTTTGTTGTCCCCAGAACAGGAGGTAAGGGGAAATCTTCCAATGGGGACATCTGTTATAAGGACAATTGTCTAAGAGGGTATTCCCATCACTTTGGGAGATTTCCTCTAATGTCCTGTTGCCTCTCTGGGACAGGGAGTAAAGGATGATTTCTCCAATGGTACACAGACAGCAGAAAAATAACCTGACTGCTTTTATAGAACTCCAGAATTGTAAAATGTTAACCCTTGTAGTGGTGAAAAAAGAAGTCCTGCGGCGATCAGGTCTCCTCTTTCTCCCCCTCTGCAGCAGCAAAGCAGGACTGAGGATCAAATAAGTACATTTTTATTTGAGCCCCCAGACCAAAATTAACAGTTAACCCTTGCAGTGCTGGGGTTGCCCCACTGCAAGGGTTACATTTTTTTTTTTTATTACATTCACGGAGTTCCTCTTTAACCCTTTCCTACTCTGAGTGCCCATTCACACTTGGTTGTATCATGAACGTGGCTCAAAACCCACACAAAGTAAACACTGAACGTGATTGCATTGCCGTTACTAGTTAATGGCACCTCAAACACAGGCAAGTGCGGTTTTTTTCCTGTGAGAATCCGCATGAATGTATGGAAGAAAATCACGGAACGCATGTCTCAGAATTTGCTACATACACTACTGTCCAGGAACCCGTTCAAATCAATAGGGACGTGCACAAAATGTGGGAAACAAACACTTGTGAATGTGTGGGAACTGGGAACGCTCGTGGGTGAATGGGGCCTAACACATACACTGTACATAGTACATTTTATTTGTAGAGGTCAGACCATAGAGAGGGAAGATTGAGAAGGCAGGAGGGAATTGGGTGAAGGTTTTGTATTAATGGGTTTATAAAGTAAAATCAAAGCTGTAAGTGTAATATACACCCTCTCCAGGAAATGTGTGACTATTCCCACATTCCACCACCAGGTGGCGCTCTCCGTTCCCACTTCCCTGGCAAGTTTCTACTAGGTCACGTGACTCTGCTTCCTTGTTCGCCTCCAGAGCTAACAGTGCGACATGCTGTAAAGCAAGCGCTCAGTGACGTCATGGTGGTAAGTTCTCGAGCAGCCCAGAAAAGTAATGATTGCTGTATGTATTGCATGCTGGCAGTGACACTCTGCATGGGAAAGTCTCATGTCCAGTAAATCCATGATAGAGCAGACATGAACATAATCTGGACTGCAGCAATGTAAATTGCTCACAGCCCAGATATATACATACAGGGGGGGATTTACCAAAACTGGAGCAGTTGCCCATAGCAACCAATCAGCTTCTATCTTCAGTTAAGCTTGGAAAGTTTTCAGATTCTGTCTGCTCTCCCCCCCCCTTTGTCTATACACAGCATGACAGGGATTGTTCTCAGCCTGGTAGGAAGGATGGCTGTGCTGACTTGCAATGCAGCAAGACAGCCGGGTTGTGATATCTGACTTGCAGACCGGTCCTCACCATATTTCCCGCTGGTGCATACATAGCTTTCTATGTACTGACCTGTGGCCACCAGTTCATGGAAACTTTAAAACTTAGTGGCACGTCATAAGTAATATATGGTGAATGCGGACACATTCGCTGTGATGGATTCACCGTCATTAACCACATTTAAGCCTCATTCACACAGCGTAGAGTGGGGCTGTACAGATCCATGTGGCGTGCACGACCTTATCGGGCTGTTCCCGGGAAGGACAGGTGCTGCGCATGATTGTACACACCAGCCTGTCCTTCCCTATCGGAGGATGCGGCCGTATGCCGTCGTACGCTTGCCCGAGCTGCACGGACACCCGCACAGATGTGCAGCTCGGGTGAGCGTATGACGGCATTCAGCTGCGTCCTCCCATAGAGAAGGACAGGGGCTGCGTACAATCACACGCAGCACCTGTCCTCCCGGATACGGCCGTGCACGCCGCACGGATCTGTACGGCCCCACTTTACGCTGTGTGAATGAGGCCTTAGAATGCAGCCAATTACTCACGACTAGTGATAAGCCTGGGCTTGGTGCAAACCCAATTCACCCCCCAAGCCTGCTCAGAACTGTGACCGCCACTTCCTCCTCTTGACCCAATCAGCTGCAGAGGGGTACATTCGTCATCGCACAGCTATATGTCACAAGGGGTCAGGTAACCCACCACCCCCCTCCCCCGCCGTCACTGATTGGGCTGGAAGGGAGGGGGCTGGAAGTCACAGTTTTG